TACATACTTCCTCACCTGGAGTACTGTAGTCCGCTATTGCTTGGAATAAATAAAACACTGAGCTCTAAACTTGAGTCAGTCAATAAGTACGCACTCAAAACTTTGCTTAATCTCGGCAATAATGTTGATTACAATACAATCTTAGCTAAAAGCAACATGAAAACTCTAGAACATAGGCGATTTTATATTTCCTTGGTTTTACTTTTTAAATGTATGAAATGGAACGGTCCGGAATATTCAAGTCCATCAAAGCGTAATAACTGAACTAGTTCATTATTTTTGTTCCTTTTGGTTACAGATGCACAGTAGACTATTCACCGTTCTTATAAACTATCCTAAAACTTAACAAATCTAAGAACGGCACTATTAACATTTATGCTTGGGACTCCCTCACCGCATACATTCTCTACATTTCGTGTCCAATCATTGTGACTAAACAAATTCCCTGGAAGGTTCTTTCTGTTTGTCATTTCAGAATAGTATCAAGGAAACACATTGAACGTTTTGCGTAGGAAGGTACAAAAATGCTAACTAAAAGAACATACCAAAGAAATCTCCGGGAAAACAAGAAAGAACGATCTAAGAAATGAGGTAAACAATGTTCAAAACTAAAGTGGAACCACAAGGCGCAACCGAGTGGTCTCAGTGCACGCAATAACATCGAAACTTTTTTATGCCAGCTCAATGCGACAGAGAGTGATTTCGTAGGGCCTCTAGATGGTTACACCGGTTTTGTAATACACTGTGCGCACGCCAATGATACGCTAGTGCTTTGCATGTTAAGGACCGTAAATTTACAAGAAATGTACGTGGGTTCATGAATTACCATTATGCGCACAGTTCGTGGATCACTGCAAGAGAACACGTTCAATTTTTGAAGATGAGCAAACATTTTTCACATCTGACAGAGATAACCAAGTGTATGATATTTTTTGTTCCTATTCAGCCAAGCAAATTCTTAAAAGTGGCATGATAACACCAATAAAATTGAATGCAGTGTTTTGTGGTTTGACATGTGGCCCTCCGGACCATGTTTGTCTGTCTGTTACCTTAGTGACCGTTCCATGCATAAATTTGGCGTGGCAGTACATGTTCGGTATAGCACGAAGAGTTTGACTTCGACACAAGATAGGAGACTCAAAAATGAATTGTTTGCTGTTCACTCTGACTTTTCTTGTGCTGGTGGTCGCCCCTGGTGAGTACTGTACAACTTTGAACTAAATGAATCGTTGAACCACCCTGAACATAATTTTGTAGTTGCTCTGATACTCATCCGCGCTGACCGATGCAGAAACAGATAAAAACAAATGGCATCGAAACGGAATTCGTCTTGTGTTTTCAGTGGCTACAATTTGTC